CTTTCGTGAAAACGCTCTAGACTCACCTTATCTAATTTGTAGAGAATGGTTGGTTTCAATGAATTAAAAACTCTAAGACATTCAGAAGAATAACATGTTATTAAAATATTCCTCAATGTTTTGGAAAGGTTGGCAGTTTGAAGAGGAAACGGCAGGCAGAATACTTTACAAAATCGCAGATGACTCGCACGTGTTCCAGTTCAACAGCGAGGCAGAAGGAGAATCTTACGCCGACGAAAATGTTGTCGACATTGATACAGAGTTTGCAATTGAGCGAAACTCTCTGATTTCCTGCATAAGGAATCCAAGCAGATTGTCTAGTTTCAATGAGGAAATGTCCAGGAAGTCCATTGCTGATCTTCAGGTTGCTGAAGAATTCAAGGCTGCTAAATTCACAAACATGGATATGAACAAAAGGAAGGTGTTAGTACAAAGCATAGTTACTGCGCTTAGATCCCGGCTGGAGTGCGAACCCAACTCTGTGCTTTATGCTTTTGAAAGTTATTCACCTTGTGACAATATGACCTATGATATTGAAAAAAAAAACCAACGCGCAGCATGGTACCTCCTTTTTTCGGCTATTCCGCAGATGCTATTAAAGAAGAAGTTGAGCAGCTTTCTAATCAGCTAACAGGACGTATGTCAGAGGAGGTGAATCCAGAGTTCGACAAGGCCCAAAAAGTACACTATTTCCTTCCCGCGTTGCGAAAGCATATGAGATCTGGCTCTTTTCCCATTACTTACCGCAAAAATCTGATGGACCTACTAGCAAAGCTAGTTTCCATTCCGACTAGCACGGCAGAGGTAGAGAAAGAAATTTTCTATCTACTCTGTCATCAGAACACAACGCAGAAGTCGTACAACGATAGAGCATCTAAGCAAATACTTAAGATTTGTCAACCTCTACTAAACACATTGTTATCTAAAAACTTCATTTAAAGGATTGATATAAGTGGTCCAGACAGGCTGTTACCGTATGACTTTTTGAAATATCCTAAAAGAAGGTATGAAGAAACCGATCACCTACCTGCTGACTTCCTGGTGCTACCAGAGGGCCACGAAAAAAATCACAAAAGCGCTTAAAAGAAGAAGAAAGTTTCAAATCCATTTTCGACTCAGAACGCTTTTGCACGCAATTCTACTTCTACTCCGATGACCTTTTGGAGGAAGAAGAAGATTTTTCAGGCAGCGAACTTGTTGTCTCTGACGTTAGCGATAGTGATATTGTTGATGATGATGTGCAGGAAATGAAGTTGTTCCTAACTTGTACATCTTTTGGGATAAACATTATTGCTTTCGTTTTTTGTTGATGCATGAAACAGGAGCACAGATCTTCATAACCAATTTTTTTAAATTTTTTAATTTTTTTTGAAAAATTTTAATTTTTTTTTCAATTTGTGCCTAAATAAGGTACAAATTAGAGCTCTTCATACCACGCTTTTTTACCTTTTCTCTCTTCCTCCCCCCCCCTAGACTCACATACCCCCTTCACCCTGGAAGGTCGGAAACAGCCGAGACCCCCTTCACCTGGGGAGAGCCCGGCTCCCCCTATCGCACCTATGCAGACAAGTACACCATTCGGTTTTATATATATAAAAAGATTGAATTTGCTTTACATCGAAAATTTCGGCTTCCTTTATTGTTACACTGACAATGGACGCGTAGACAGGACTTTTAGGTCGCGGAGGAAATGTCAATTTGACGACAAGCATCAAAGACCATAGGTTGGAGACCGCCAGCGGAGGGGGAGGGCCGAGTTTCGATCAAAAACATGAGAAATGAGATTTAACTACAGCCCTGTCAGACTGACTATTCATGATGGCTCTGCGGTGCTGACAATATTTATATGGAAAAATTGTCATGCTTGTAATGTCGACATCGCTAACGCAAGAGAAAATGACCATAGAGCGCGCGTTCCTCAAGTTTGCGCACCATGGCCATTTTTAATGAGCAAGTGTTGTCGGTACCATATAAGGCACTGTGTACGCGATCTTCGACAAACCTATGTTAATAGTAGGAAAATAGAATTTCCTGAGCTTCCTAATTTATAGAAGCCTATAGAAACACTGCCATCAGATATAGCTGTCTTTTCTTTGCTTCAAAGCAGAAGGTTGCGTTTTACCCTGCATTACACAATCTGTTATTACTTAATTGGAGCTATTTGGGATATGCATCGGGGCATAACCCTCTGTTTTGCACTCAAATTATCGGCGTTAATAATTGCAGCGACTGAGGTGGGAATTAAGCCGGAAGTGGAAACGGGCGAGAGATGCAGACAACCAGTTTGAAGTGGTATATAGTTCGACTGATAGGTGAAGTGAAAATGGGAAATGCAATGGTTGTGGCTCAAGCCTACATAGAAAAGCATGAGAGCATGATCTTATTTAGCATCGTTTCAAAAGGCATCGTCTGACTTAATACAGTAGAGATCAGGGTCGGTAGTAATCTGGCCGAAACTCCGAGTTTAAAGCTGCGCGTTAACTCAGAGTTAACTCCGAGTTTCGTTTTAAACTCAGAGTTAACTCCGAGTTTCGTTTCTGAAACTCGGAGTTTCGTGCTGCTACTTGCGGAGCCGCTATGGTTGTTGAGGAGCTACCACACGCTTCATCGCAAAACACTGCGACTTAGCCGCGACTCGAACTTCCGTTGCTCGGTGCGAAGTGCCTATCACTAGACCACTAGGCTACAGAGCACCTTAGCAACGTTCCAATTCTGCCGCCATGAGTACTCGTTGCTTACATCCTACGTGTTCAGACGCGTCAAGCGGCATGGTGCCTCTTCGCTCTAAGCATTGGATTCACTAAAATACCTATACATACTCCCCCCCCCAATTGTTTTTATCCCCAGCTGCATTCCTAAATAGGTTGACTAGAGGTGACTGCTTTCTTGACAAAACATAGGTAATTTAAGTATCAAAATTCAGCTATCTACATGCCTCTATCATTTTGATAATATTACACTATCGGCTGGCTGCAGTGGCGGACCGAGGGGGTGGGGGGAGCGGCGGGGGGGGGGGAGGGCGCCCTCCCTCCTCCCGAGAATGGTTCGCGAAATTTTTGGAATTCACTTACGTGGGTTACAAAAATGTGCAAGTGACTTGTTTACTTATGTAGATAATTAATATAATTTTCAAATTTTCTAAAAATTCAAGTTAGCCTTGCAGAAAAATTTTTTTGGAGGCGTGGCTCACGCCACGCCCCTTTCTCATCGTTTTAAAAGGTATGGGGCCGCAAAAAATTTGAGAAGCACCCCAAAAATCTTTTCGGAGTGCGTGGCTAACTCCATGCACCTTCATTCAAGAAATTTTTTTGACCCCCCCCCCCGGACAGAAATCCTGGGACCGCCACTGGCTAGCTGATGAGTGTTCTTTATTCGAATATTTCGTTTATTCGACAACTCGGAAGGGTAAATTATTCAAATATTCGAATGTGCGAGGAATTCAAGAAGACAACTATACAATTCAACTATACAAATATTTGAGAAGTTTCGGAAATCCTTGTTCGAATATTAAATCGACTATTGCGACTGAATATTCGAATATTGCATGCGAGTATTCGAATAATTATTGCATTCGATATTTGATGATATTTAGTTGTTCGTTTATTCGAATACTCATTCGATCAAGTTTGGTTAATCGGATAATCGAAAGTTCGAATTTTGGAATGTGCTCATATTCGAGTAATCAAATTCGAATAATATAAAAAACGGAAATAAGTATTATTCGTTCATTTGGATATTTTTGAATCCAATATTCGCTATTCATTCGTTCGATGAATTTTCAAAGATATTATTCGATATTTGTTCATTCAAAAACTTGCCTTCGTTACAACTATATCACAAACTGGCAAAAAGCATAGTTCATGGTTTGGTTTCTGTGAAAAAATCTCTTGCGAAAATCTGTTACATTTACATTTCTGGTGAAGAAGCGGTTGGAACTATATAATATTAGTTTCTCAATGCTGATAGTTGTATGGTTGAAAAGGTCATGCGAAAATGACAATGAAGTTTAAGAAGACGGAGACATTTGTGGCAATAAGGGTCGTTCTATAAGACCACTTACGGTGCATGTGTTTTTAGAAAATATGGATGAGACTTGACTCATGGCTTTAATTTCACAGCGCACGCAGCTGCTTAGAGGTTCAAGATGGAATACGGCAGTGATTTCTGGCTGTTGAAAACCATGAATTGCATTTTCATGCAAAATCATTAGCATATTCATAATCAGCATGGCAAATAACCCCACCACTCCAAGTTTCAGCGAATTTCGTGATCTTCGCCCAGCTCGTATAGCTACCGTAACCTCGCTAAATGGACCCCCAATCACAAGTGAATAACATATTCGTGATCACGTGCCACAACAATCATACTGTACCAAGTTTCAGACAATTTTGTGGTTTTCGCTCATACCGTATAGCTACCGTAATCCCGATTGTGGCCCCGTAGCGAAAAATAGATATCATAGTGATCAGCATGCGGAGTAACCCCATTGTACCAAGTTTCGACAAAATTCGTAATATTTGCCCAATTACCGTATCCCTACCGTAACCGCGCTATATGGGCGAATGGTGAAAAATGAACATCATATTCGTGATCAGCGTGCCAAGAAACCCGGGTGTAGGCCTTTCTGAACCCGCTCCAATCACGACGAGTGTGATAGGTCAGCGCGCGCGGGAGGTCACGCCGTGATTGGCCGCTCCGCTGCTGCGAGCGAATGACCTGCCAACGCGCGTCGCGGATGCGGACGAGTTACACATTCGGCGTGTTGCGTGCAATTTCCTCGGCCCTTTAAAGAATACGCCACACGTAGAACAAGTTTTTGGGCCTAAAATCACAATTGACAGCCACATTTACTACTTTTATTATCGGCTGTTTTTAGAACTTCAACATTTTATCTGATGAATCTCGTCGTTGTTGTCATTTGTTTTGTTCCCAAGCTTTCTGACTTTTTGTATTTCAGCTGTTTGATCTTTTTGACCATTTTATCTGATGAAGACTCGTTGATGCTCTTCCGAGTAGGAGACTTTTCACTTGATGGATATCCCGATCTTCTTGCTGTTCTTGTGGAGAAGCAAAGCTTGGGGCAGATAAAGGTAAGATCAGCTTCACTTCCTTATTTCTCGGCTAGAGGCTTTTGGTTTGATTTGGTAATAATTTTCGCCCTCAGTTTCTTATTGTTAGGTTATCGACAACGTTCATTGTACAAATTGCGATAAGAATGGAACTAAATTTGTTGAACATGAAGGACTCATATCTTTAGCGCTCTGGCCTCTCAATTTTTTTACTTGTAGGAGGTTCGAAATCAACAAGAGCGTCTTCATTCAACCAAAGGAGGTAGCGCTAGGAGAAATCAAGATGGCGTCGTTCTTCGATCTGAAGGTAAAGTGCTGGCGTTTTTTTTTGTTTGAGCTTGCTTTCTAGGATGTTCTTCATTGGTTTGAACTTTTCTTGTAAAGGCAGATTTTACCGTTTCAGGAGGATGGAAGCCTGGACATTCTTATCGAATATAAGCCGTTCGAAGGAGACACTAAGTTCAGGTACTTATATTCATTCAACTATGTTATCTTCTCATCTCGATGTATTTTTGTTTCAGCTTTATTTATTGTGATGACAAAGGTGATGTTACTTTCCTCAAAGTGCAAGTCTTCACAAACGTGTGCGGCAAGCATTGTGAGCCGTCGTCAAAGGAAGTGGGTGAGTCAAACATGGTTTTGAATTCGTTTTTAGCTTTTAGTAGGCTTTAATTGGTGTTGTCTCAATAAGTGCAGCTGATATATCCACATGAGTTTGTTTTTTGGTGTTTTGCTTTTCGCTTTCACTTACATCTGTCTCACTTGTTTCGATAAAGAGTACCCTGATTTCACGTTTGACATTTCATTTGACACATTTCACGTTTTTTTCACCAAGTTTGTTTTGAATTTTATGGAGACTTCGCGGATATGCTAAAGATGAGTTTTCAGGGTTCAGTGTTAGTTGGAGCGGTGCATGCACTAGCTTCAGTGTGTCCGACGGCTGGGGTGGCTCTTTGAAAGGCGCTTCATGCCAACTTCCCTCCTCGACTCATCGAGCCCTGGCTGCACCTTATCTGTTGTTTGGACTGGGCCGAAGTCCCAACTTTGTTGATGAGGTTGGTTCAGTTTATTTTTTTTACAATAATTAGTAGATCCTATTTTCTAGTTGACTATCGGTGCGCCACTTTATTGTGATGGCTTAGCAGTCCGTCAACATACGCTGAAACAGTTCGTACTAAATTCGAGGATTGTTTTCATTCCATTTGTCATTTGTCATTTGTCATTGTTGTCATTTGTTTTGTTCCCAAGCTTTCTGACTTTTTGTATTTTAGCTTTTTGATCTTTTTGATCATTTTATCTGATGAAGACTCGTTGATGCTCTTCCGAGTAGGAGACTTTTCGCTTGATGGATATCCCGATTTTCTTGCTGTTCTTGTGGAGAAGCAAACCTTGGGGCAGATAAAGGCAAGATCAAAAAGCTAAAATACAAAAAGTCTATTTTTAACTTTTAACATTTGTTGCTTCATCAACTAATTTTGTTGTTGTTCTTGTTTATGTTTGTTAACGTTATGTTTTGTATCATCACCTTTTTGATCACATTACGGTCCAGAATGTGATTGCCCGGGGTCGCATTCTGGAGTTTCTAATAAAGTTTTTTGAGTCTTCTTAGGTAACGCAAGGTCGACCGTTAGGTAGTGTACGAAAAAAATGATGTAGAAAAAAATAAGTGTGGGTGTGCTTTGATATGTGGTGAATGGTACCATTACTAGACGAGAAAGTGTTTAGGCGACATGATTCTGAAAGAATGAGTGGCACTGTTCTACTTTATACAGCCGAGAAATCTTTAATCTCAGAACTTCGGTAAAACCTCACAAGGGGGTAGGGACTTAGCACAGGGTGTCCCAAAAGTCTTTAAGCCTAACTTCCCAACGTAGTAAGTTCGTCAGTATTTCTCGCTTTTCAGTCAAATTTTGCATATAAGTATTTCGTCTATTTTTTAGTATACTCAAGAAAATCTTACCGTTTGCGCTTTACCTTCTCAAAATATTGTTTCTTGAGCAAACAATACTATGATTTTGAGGACGACGCAATGTTAACGCACCCTTTACTCAAACATCTAACATCTACATTTTGACACTTTTGTTAAATTGCACAGGCGTGCTTCTCAGATCAACGTGCTTCTAATCGCCGGCTCAACGCCCAGCCTCTGACTTTTCTTTGTGATCAATGGAAGACACGGCTTGCTCAGTTCCACACTAAATTTCGGGCGGCATAGAACGTTTGCTTGAAAAGCTGTGAAGCTTTTCAAGCTTCACAGCTATCTGTCTGCCACGGTGCGCGTACCGCAAGAGTGTGAGGGCTTATGTGAAGGCCAAGTAAGGGTTTTCCGAAAACTGAGTGTACATTATTATTTTGTAGGTTCTTCACTAGATTCCTGCTAAATTTCATGTGACAGCGTTGCTTCGTACAGCTGCAGCTAAGGAAATATTAGGATTAAAGACTTTTGAGACACTCTGTAGGTAGGTAGTGTACGAAGAAATTGATGTAGAAAAAAAACCAATTGTGAGTATGCTTTGAACACAAGTGAACATTAAATGACTTTATTAGATACAAAGCGAGATATATGTCTGCAAAAATTCACTATTGGCTCAAATGAGGGGAAGGGTTCTTCTAGGCGGGCACGGTGTTCCTGCATGCACCTGTCGATTTTTTCTCTCCTTAGGATGTCCTTTTGTCGAAGTTTTCGAGCGATACCCTTAAAACGGCTTTTAGTGGAAATATTTCTGACTGCTACCTACTCACCCTCTCTAGGTTTCGAAGGGTACACATGGCACGATTGTCGGCCCCGTGCAAGCACTTCAGGGTTTTCCGGACAGGGGCGTTTCGCTCTCGGATTAGAACGCGGAGAACTCTGCAAGCTATGGTTAGCTTTTGGAAGATTGCAAATTTGCAAGCGAACTAGCCGGTGGTACGATTCCGCTATATTGCTTGTTCTAAGCTCGGACTTCCCCCACTTGTACCAGATATTCTTGAAGGGCCCAGCATACCAGTTTTCTTGCAAGTAAGCTAGGAAGCTCACGCATTTGTGATAAGCTGAATGCGTTGGTGGTACTGGTGGCCCGTATAGCGCTGGTACTCTTCGATGGAGACGCGGGGGAAGGAAAATGAGGCCCTTCAGAGTCATCCACCAATCCCTCACTAGACGTTCTTTCATTTCCGCCCGTAGTCCTAATGACAGCGCCTTGCGATTCCACGCCTGTGCCAGGTGGAAGCTGCACCCCTCTACGCAGCCTTCCGGAAAGTGGTTCTAGAGTAGATGGCTGTCAGAGAGGATTACAAGTTAATTATGAAAATTCTCACTTTTATTCCAACCAAAGCGGCTCTCTCAAAATCAATTATAATTCTTAATCTTCTGCAGTCTACACGTAATTCTGTCAGCTCCTGCTTAATCATTCCGAAAACTCTGTCGTACACTGATTCGTTCATTCTTCTTGTCAATACATGCACTAGAGGAACATCTAAACGGCTTACGAGTGTTTGGCGGTCCCAAGTCAATCAAAATGTCTTACCAATTCCTCCGTTACACACTCCATGGACAGTGTAGTTGTCCATCATCTCCAAGAGCTTTCGGTGGTAGTTTATGGATACCATCCGCTACCAGCGCGGTCAGCCCGTTCTCGACGGCTTTCTGAAAAGAACATTTGAAGGTGGTGTTGCGAAGATGCAAGCAGACCTGAATAGTCGTTTTCGAGTAGTATATATACAGTCCAGGGGAGGAGAATTGAAGAAAAGTTGTTCCGTCTCTAAGCGTTCTCAAATTTTCTGGTACATCATCAAGAGAAGCCGTCGGGCGATCGTGCATCTGAACACTCCTGAACACAATTCTTTCTTCTTTACGTGACTATGGCAAGCAAAGGACTGACTTCAGTATGGTTCTTCTGCGCTTGCAGTAACCTTCCTGGTGGAATTCGTCCATTATCTCGCGCACTTCCTCTAAGCCTAAAGATGATATTCTCGTGCCTTGTCTTCTCCACTAAGCCTACTTACTAAAATCAGGCATATGTGGAAATGCGTCGAGGATATCTTGCCACACCTTCCGTACCACCGCATCTGCAAAATTGGGATCGTTTTTGATTTCTTGTAATTTTTTATACATGAATCGTTCAACAAAATTTTTCTTAGCCTTTTTTGGCAAGCAGTTGTGTGGTAGGGCGCAGGGATCCTCCAGAAAATCGTCACCAATAACCTAAAATTTTATCCTTACGATGGGAGGCATCGTTGTTGTTATGGCTTACATCTATCTGCACATGCCGTCTTGCTTTGCAACAGGAGATGCACTTGTAGACCAAGCAGCCTTGCTTTCGCTTGTGGAATGCGAAAGCATAGCATAGCCTTCTACCTGGAATTTTGTAAGTCAATACACGGTGTCTCCCATACTTACTTACCTGGTACTGTCCTTCAAACCTCTGGACTTCTGAAATAGATGATGTGTCAGTGGATAACAATGAAGAAAATTGGCTTATGGGAGGGGGCGCAGGAGAAGCTTCGCGGGTGGACACAGAAGAGTAGTCGTCTAAAATGGGAGGCAAAGGAGAAGGGGAAGGCGAACTGGGTGAAGCTGGAGCTGATGCGGAAGCATAGCAGTATAATCTAGGCGGCGAATGAGGAGGAGTCGCAGGAGAAACTTCAGGAGTTGGCGCAGAAGAGTAGTCGTCTAAAATGGGAGGCAAAGGAGAAGGCGACGTAGGTGAAGCTTCGCGAGTTGGTGCGGAAGAGTAGTCGTGTAAGTTAAGAGGCGAAGGAGAACAAGAATTGGGTGAAGCTTCGCGAGTTGGTGCAGAAGAGTAGTCGTCCAAATTAAGAGGCGAAGGAGAAGAAGAATTGGGTGAAGCTTCGCGAGTTGGTGCAGAAGAGTAGCCGTTGAACAGGAGCGATTGGGGAGAAGGCGTAGGGGAAGCTGCGCGAGCAGTGCAACAGGGAAGCGCAGGTGAAAGGGGACCTGGAGTAGCTTGTTTTCGAGCTAGTTGAACGAGACGCGCTAGCTTTGAAGGAGGAGGGCATGGCTGCAGAGAATTAGGAGCTTCAGAGTTTGACAAGAGTTTACGAAGCTCAGAATTTGCACAGCCAGGGCGTTTGCGGGCAAGAGAAACAGGAAAGCGTGTTGGTGTAGAAGAAGCTGCGGAACTTTGGCCGGCGTGGAAACTAGGTGAACAGGTGGAGTAGGAGCAGGAAGAAACTGTGCCGACAAAGAAGCAGAAGCAGCAACGGCAATGGGAGAAGCGGCAACAAGGTGCGTTGGTGTAGAAGAAGCTGCGGAACTGGAGGGGTTAGCCGGTGTAGAAACTAGGCGGAAAGGCGGAGGAGGAGCAGAAACAAACTGTGCCGGCGAAGAAGCAGAAGCAGTAACGGCCATAAGAGAAGCGGCAACAAAGTGCGTTGGTGTAGAAGAAGCTGCGGAACTGGAGGGGTTAGCCGGTGCAGAAATTAGGCGGAAAGGCGGAGGACGAGCAGAAACAAACTGTGCTGGCAAAGAAGCAGAAGCAGTAACGGCCATAGGAGAAGCGGCAATAAGGTGGACCGGAACAGCCATGGGAGTAGCGGAAACAAGGCGAACGGGCATAGGAGAAGCGGAAACAAGACGAGCGGGCATGGCAGAAGCTGGTGAACGCGAGAATAAAGGCAGGGAGCGGCTGCCCGGATGAGCTAGAGATGGTCGCGGTAGAAGCGGTCGCAGAGTTGAAGCTTGAGTTACAGAAGTAACTCTGTAGTTCTTATGAGAACTGTTTGGAACACGATGGAATGACATTGGAAAGCTTGTAAACGTAAACGTAACAAGGGTGAATACTACACGCTCGCTATCCTTTTATATCCGTTCAGCAAAGGCTTAGTGATGCCGTAGGGAGTTATTCTCACTTGAAAGGTCAGGGACACGGTATCTGACATCTACAACGATGTATCATGTCGAATAGCTTAGCATTTTAGCTTATAAAACTAGTGTAACTCTTACACAATGAACGTCTGGTTAAGTTCATGAGCTTCGCAAGGCAATGATGCATGGAACCACAATGAATTCGAAACATATCCTTATACAACAACAGATTAAACATCGTACAACTATTGCCTGCTTCTCACTGCTTCTGTGAGCAGTAGTGATTGTTACATGCAAAGCTAAATCGTAATAAAACAGTAGATGAGAGAAAACTCACAAATAAGTCATCTGGATTACCTTCACTTCCTCAATGAGTAACGAGACTTGGATTATCTAGCCTTCTACACTGGGTTCATGTTTCACAAACTCATGAAAACCGGTGTAAAGGTCTAGATTTCTATTCAAGTGATAAGTGAGAGAATGCAGTAGATATATGCAGATTCTGATCAATCAGCAGTAAATACTATGAATAGATGGAACGAATGGCATAACACAAGTACTACATATATAAAAAAAATAAGTTAGTTTAAAGTAAAACATTAGATAAAACTGCAGGAATGTACAAGGTATGCTTACCTGCAGCACTGTTAATAGATTGTCATGCCATCTTCACAATGAGCAGCACATCTCTATAGCGGTGACATAGTTAGAATATAGCAATAGTATAGTTAGAATATAAGATGGTCCAATACCAGTAGACCCTTTTGGAAAATACTAACAGCAGGGGAATGGAATAAGATGGAAATGTGCATAGTGTGCAGTAGTGCACAGCAGTACGCTGTGGAAACGGTGTTTCCATAATGACAGGAAACTCGTCCGTTGTAGAAGGCGGGTCGTCCGGCGTCACACGCAGCGCAGGCGCTCGCGCCACAGTTTCTCATTACTGTAACTTACCGTGGGTTCAGAAGGGCCGTCTCCCAAGAAACCCCACAATACCAATTTTCACTCGATTTAGTAATTTTCGTCCAATTACCGTATAGCTACCGTAATCCTGACTTGTGGCCCCGTAGCGAGAAATGAGTATTATATTCATGATCAGCGTGCCAAAAAACCCCACTGTGCCAAGTTTCAGGCAATTCCGTGATTTTCGCCCAACTACCGTATTCCTACCGTAACCGCGCTACATGGGAAAATGGAGAAAAATGAGCATCGGATTCGTGATCAGCACGTCCGATAACCCCTGGGACCAAAATTTTACAAAATTTCAAATTTTTGTGTTCAACGGTGCACCATGATACCCACATCGTGCTTGGTAAAACTGCTTGGAGCAAAATCTACCCCGGAGGACTTTTTTCTGGACCTCTGTCTTTACGCACTATTTCTCTTTCTCTAACCAATCAGAATTAACTCCGAGTTTCGCGGGCGGCTGAAACGCGCAGAAAATTCAGAGTTAACGCGCAGCTGAGCTGCGCGTTTCGTCGCGTAGCGTCTCGCGTGGAACGAATTACGCTACGTTTCCATACTTGGCATAAAGCACGTCTTGCGGGGTATCCTCCCATATAACCCTTTCCCCAATTTGGTTTGCTTATGCAGGTGTTAATGGTCCCTGAAAGGTGCGTGTTAACTCGGAGTTAACTCTGAGTTAACTCTGAGTTTGAGCTGCGCGTTTCGACAGGTTTACTACCGGCCCAGGTGACGGTAAGTGATCCTCTAGGCTGCACCATTGCTCACAATAGTTATATCGTTGTCTGTGGCATCACTTGAGGATCCTGCGACGGGTGGGCAGATGTCCGTATAAGTTTTGGAACAATCGGGCCGAGTGCCAGAGATTCCAACGCATATTGTATCGTTTCCCTCATTCATGCAGAATGATGTTATAATGGTGATGATGTTATGCAAAAATTATCGTGAAATTTTGTATCTTGGCAACTATACGCTAAATTATATAACAGAGTGAGCCGGCATCAACTTTAGAATTGAAGACAGCGTCCAGGGCAAAGCTAATCTCCTCCAAAAGCTACCTACTCTGAATGTGAGCCCCCGGAGAGGGGCACTGCATCGGTATGGTCCTCTGATGTTGTCTCTGAATGGAGGCAATGGACCTAGGACCACGAAAGTGCTATCAAGCCACGCCCGAATCCTATCAAGCTCCAACTAGCTCCAACTACTCCAGCTTACAACCAGGGTCAAGCGTGTGATGCGACTGTCGCAACGGGGGGTCGTAAAATGGGCCTACGGTGAGGGGAGGGGTCGTAAGAGGGGGTAGTTTGGATAAAAAACCGTACGATTGAAAGCAAATCAAATAGCAAGTAATTATTACATGTTTTTAACAATAAATTCATGGAATGCCGTGTACCAATGTATCAAATAAAAACGAGTGAACAATATTTTAAAGACATTTGCAAGCGTAGAATTCGCTTCATTTGCTGCACTTTCGAAAGATTATGACTTAGATCGATGTCTTGTAGCCAACGCCGGGATTGTTACAAACTTTATTGGCTAACGTTTCGGCTTCTCGCCTTCGTCAGAGCCTGAATGGGGTATCGATTCGTAACCCAGACGGGCAAATGTCTTTAAGGCTCTACGAAAAAGGTCTAAGCCTTAATTTTGGCCAGCAGTTTTGCAATAGCCACTTACCACTCAAACAATTCCTTGGTAGAACGACCGCTGGGCTGACCGATTATAGAAGTACTAAATGGAACGTCAGCACAGTTGGCTCAGATAAGGAGGTAGTTCTCTCGTGATTGCGAGGCATTCTTCTTTTCGGTGAATTTGTGGGTTCCTAGCATGAATCCACAATGCTTCTAGAAATTTGCGAGCAGCCGTTTTTGGTTCACGTGCTAATATTTTGACTGTTACTCCAAAACTCGATCCTTCATGCCTTAATACCCTGTGTGTGTTCCTAACGGAGTGGAAGTTCGTTGCTTATCCCGGCCATCTAGGTGTTCTTTTACACGAATACATAGGGGACGTGCGGTTTCACCTACATACTCGTCTCCGCAGACGGTACAGGAAATGAAAAAGACCACCCCAGTTGACATGCAGTCTCCGCTTTTACCTCCTGGACATATGATACAATTGTCCGTAGTACAGCTGGTGTCATACATGCGATTTCTTACTAAAATGCGCTTCAGGTTGTTCGGTGGCACTTCTACAATCGACACCAAATCAACTAATCCTACTTTCTTAAGGCTCCTGCGCATTGCTGTACTTATCTCAGTGGTGATAAACGGGACGTAAAAAGGAATTTTTTCGTTATTGGGTTGGTCTCACAGACTTCTTCCTTGTTTCGATGTACCTGTAAAGTTCCCGTACCCATTCGAAGAAGCTATGCAACGCGCAAGCTCGAGTGATTCTTTTCTTTCTTGCTCTCCACTACTCACATGCGAAGCTGTTCGGAATATATTTTTGATAACAGCTCTTTTTGTCCAAGGTGGATGAGCGGATTGAAAATGAATTAGGATATTCTTATTGCTCGGTTTACGGTACCATTTCGTCGCGTGCATACCCGTGGTGATGT